TGGAAATTGGAAGATTAGGGTTGTGACTTGTGAGTATATGGACTTGGGTTGAGCTGTTTAGTGCTACTTCTTTCAAATTTAGGCCTTTTTTTATATATAATTAGGCTTGGGTGGGTCGTAAATCTTAATAATTAATATAAAATTAGAAATTGACAAAAATACCTACAAAATGACAAAATTATTCAATTTTACAAAATTGAAATTTTGGATAAATTTTCAAAAAAAATCAATTTTTTATTTTTTTATTTTATATATTTTTCGCCAGTCCGGTTTGGTTTCAAACCATAATTAAAATTCTCAAACCTAAACCAAACCCTTTTTGACCGGTTTGGTTTGGTTCAAAACCATTTCGTTGACGGGTCCACGTGGCACCAAACCGGCGGTTTTGAAATTGAGGATTCGATTCGGTTTTCCGGTTTGTCGGTTTTTGCTTACAGCCCTATTCTCTATCTCAGGAAATCCTATAAAGAAATTGAGGGGAGAAGTTTTATTAAACGTCAAACAGGTCATAACAATAGACAAAGTTACTGAAGTAACTGAAAAAAGCGACGACTCTTGCTAACTAGTCGTTCCCTACGGGAGGTTGCATGAATGAGATTTCTCCATAATAAACAAATTCAGAAATATTTTTAAATGCAAGACGCATGATAAATTAATTCTATGTTACGCGATAATATAAATGCATGATGGATGGAGACCAATTTAACAAATCATTTTGACAAGCCTCACTACATTACTTCCAGAGATATATAAAAAACTTGAAGACAATTTAGTTTTCACCCAAAGCCAAAACTATCACAAAAGGTCATTCAGCTGCAAAAGTCCTACAAAAGTTATCTTAAAAACATTACAGGCATGCAAAAAATTTTAAACAAAGCAAACAAAAAACTGATATTTTGATCTGTTCTTTTTATAATTTTTCAACAATAACTACAACAATTTGAAATTTATGAAGTCATCCAACTCCAAGCGATCACTGAGCATTTTAAACGGTGCAGTAGTAACTGTAGAATAATTTTGTCAATATCTCTAGTAATCATGTCATCCCGATCTAATACATAATGCAGCCGATATTCTAACATCAATAGCTAAAAACCAAAACAGTACCAGCATTCAGCCTTATCTATAACTTTTAAGCCGTGTTCCATATGCAGTATTAAAAAGGATTGGACATTGAAATAGTCAAGATTTGAGATTAATTTTCTTTCCTTAAAACGGTCTAATACTATCTAATCCACCTCAACAAAAATGCAATCAGGTTCTTGAAAGGGCATAGATCAAATTTCATTTTTATCCATTAGAGCAATATTTCACACGTTACATTAACAACATCATGCCAAGATTTTCAATGACTTGCAACGAAGATAAGAAAAACATGATAAACAACATGCCAAAAGATACTCCAATTTTCATCTAGTAAAGGTCTAGAACAAGTAATAAAGCCCCAATCTATTAAATCCAAATGAATAACAACTCAATAAATGAACCAAATATAAAAAATGTCCCAAATTGACCTGCAACAAAATCTAACCATGAACTCATAATACTATAAAGCCTTCAACTCCATTCCCCCATCCCCACTCCACATTTGCAACACAAATCTACACATTTTTCATCAAACGCATAACTATCTATCAGAATCCACACATTTTTCATCAAACGCATAACTATCTACCAGAAAATTTAAGAAGTCCAAAAATAAAAAGAACATCAAAAGGAGAGAGAGAGAGAATACCTGATGGATTGGAGGGTACATAGAATTGGTGCAAACCGGGCAGTCGAGCAATTCATGGACGCTCGTGGGACCGATCCCAGAGAGAAGTATATTGTGAGGCTTTGAAGAGTTTTTAAGAGGATGAGGAGAAGAGTCTTCGTCTTCAATTCCATCCGATGAAGATACACACTCCACGCTATCCATTTCAATTGTTGCCATTTCAGAACAATCACAAATTCCCACTTTCACAAATCTCAGATGCCCAATTCCGAAAATTCAATCTTTAGCAGAAATTTCAAATGCCCAATTAGAGGAATCCACTCTTCTGCAGAAATCTCAGATGCCCAATTCCAAAATCCAATCTTTTGCAGAAATCTCAGTTGCCCACTTTCAAAAGCCCTTCTAATGCAATACCACTTGGAAAAAATTTGATATTTTTCCAAATTTTATTATGCACAAAAATGCGACGCGAACTTCGTAAATTTTGATATTTCACAAAAATCGCAATAAATCACATCCAAACATTTAATCTTCTACAAAATTATTGGATGCCCACTTTGTCTATTCCATAAATCAGATGCCTAATTCCAAACATTTAATTTTTATTCAATCCCTATATTTCTGCTTTTTTCTTTCGTATAATTTGGTTTCTTCTTGTAGAAAAGATTCATTTTAGGTGAGAAGAAACCAAAAGAACTTGAACAAGAAATGAAGAAAGAAAGCAGAAAAGGAGGAAGAGATACACTCACGGTTCGATCCAAAAGAATCAAACAGCGTATTTTCACGAAAAGAAGTTCTTTAATTATTCTTCTTCTTCTCTCTCTAGTTCATGTGAGGAGAGAGGGACAAGGATCTCCGCTGATTTTGAAAATAATTGAAATTCGAATAGCAATCCAACGGTCATAAATTATAAGTTAGTTGAGAAGTTTTCTTAGCTGTCATTGTCAGGGACTTCACTTTAATGTTAATTATTCTGAATAATCAATGAAATGGAGTAGGTAAACTAGCTAATAATTGGTTGAGCTTAAAAAAGTTTATTGAGAAATTTGCAGCTGAGGTTCCAAAATTTTCAAATATATATAGTCAGTTCCAAACTTTCTTATCTTATTATCTTCATTTCAAACATTTTTAATAAATGTGAGTAGAAAGGATTTTTGAACGATTTCCATCTAAAAAATCGTTAAGGGTGCGTTTGATTACAATGGTGGAAAATGGGTGGAAAGAAAATGAATTTCAGGGAAAGTAATTGTCTAGAAATTGTTTTTTAGGGAATTGTTAATTAAGTGTGTTTGATTGATATAATTTTCCACCCGAAAAATTTTAAAATTTTGTGTAAGTTTG